TTTTTTTGATTTTTTTTTTTTTAAATACAAATTTTGTTTAGGAAAAATGGAAGCACCGTCTGTTACAAACCAAACCAATAAGAGGAGAAATCAGGAGGAGGGGGGGAAAAAAAAAAAAGAGAGACATACTAGAATTAAACACCGTGGAATGTTAAACAGGTTACGGGCTACCGTTCTAGCCAGTGCGGTTAGGCAGCTTAGTGAATTAATTGCTTAGGAATTAAAAATAAATTATTATAAAATAGATTTCTGTACATTTTACATACATATATATCTCTTTATATACGCAACCCGTGCTGGGCAAGAAATTACAGGGGACTTTCCCACGCCAGCCTCAGTCCCAGCCGAAGTCCTGCCCCGTCATCTGGTAGAACTTCATGTTGAAGGGCCGGTAGAAGTCCCGCAGTCTCTGCACCACCTCCTGGTCTATGTCGGGGTGGGTCCTGCCTTTCGTCTTCCCCAGGCAGTGGGGTTTGCTGCTGCCTTCCGCCTTCTTCAGGCACGGGAACCCCTTGGTTTTGTTGAAGTAGAAGTGTTTGTCGGTGATGATCCTCTTGAGGCCCAGAAAGTCCTGGACCCTGCCCAGCTCGCCCGCGGGGTCACTGATCAGCCTCTCCCCACTGACGAAGAGGATCTGCCCGATGGGGAAGTAGAGGAGCCAGTTCTCCAGGTGCTTGGCGTAGATGCCGATCTGGATGGCGCTCCACGAGGTGTCAATCAGGCCTGTAGTCCTGTTTTTGAAGGTCAGGCTCTCAAAGGTGGGGATATCAGGCTTCTTGGAGAGTGTCTGGGTGTAGTCCGAGATGGCTCTGGTCACGGGGTCCCGCACCACCACGATGAGCTTTGTGCCCTTGGACATGGAGGAGATGCGGGCCGGAGCCTCCTTGGTGACGAAGTAGCTGGGGGTCTTCTCCATGGTGATCTGCCCCTCCAGGGTCCTGGGCATGAGGTCTCTGAAAGAACAGGCACAGGTCAGACCAGCAGGTAGCAGTAATGAAAATACACCTACAGAATCACTGAGGTTGGAGAAGACCTTTAAGATTCCCGAGTCCAAACGCAAACGTAACACTGCCAAGTTCACCAATATATAGGTGTATATACACACACACCTATTCACACATAGAGACACAAGACTTTTTCTCCCTAAAATGCCAAGACAGGTCATCCAGCTCATACAGATAAATCCATCTGCCATTGATTTAGGGATTAACAGGGGATTATTATTAAAGGCCACTGTATTGGAAATCCATCTGAGTAATCTCCCAGTTACCCGTGAGTGGATTATCTGGGCTGCACTTTGCACCTGGAGCGTGGCTACGTGGACCACATCGCCTCCTGTCCCGTCAGGATGAGTCCTGAGCTGCACCAGGCGCCTTTCCTGGCTCAGGCCGATGCCAGAGAGCCCCCAGCTCGAGCCCAGGCCTCGTTTTCCCCAGTGGAACAAGAGGAACGGCGTAGGAGAAAAGCAGGAGCTCTCCAGAACACATCCACCTTGCTTTCCCTTAGCATCCCAAACACATTACTTTTCCGAATTCAGGCAAGAGGGTGCAATTTGTCCCCAGCACATGCCTTTCTTGTCAACAGTGGGACCTCACCAAGCCGCAGAGGTCTTCTTCCACCCAGCTTTACCCATTGCTCTACTATTCCCTATCGCTGTGCAGACTTGCTCCCTAATACGCACTAGAAGGAGCATCAAGAGCTGCTGGTGGCACCTTCAGCACATTCCAGTCCAGTGCCCAACAAGGACAACCCCCCCCCTCCACTGCCACACAGGCTACAGCAGGTCAGGATGCAGGATATGACCACGGAGATGATGCAACCTCAGCCCACGAGTAGGAGGGACCCTCACAAAACACTCTTGAAACCTAAAGCCCTCAGCAATTCCACCTTATTCCCTGGTTATTTCTAATTAACCACGCGGGGAAAAACTAGAGAAGCTGCAGAAACAATGGAAGCAACATGAATCAAAAAGTGTAATTTTTTCCTACCATTCACTAGGCAAGCCTAAATATTTTAGACCATTTGCCAATTCTTTCCCTTTACGACCCAATGGAACTCATTTGCTCTGGGTTGTGAGACAGTTTTAAAAAAAAAAAAGCAAGAGGGGAGTCAGCCACAAAATTAAAGCTATAAAACTTGATTCAAGTTTTCAAAGCATCCACCCAGCCCAGAGAAATAAGCAGCCAGTGGGTGACCTGCAAGCCTCAAGGAGTGTTTCCCACAGACCTACGGCACACGGAGGCTATTTGTTCCCCGACGGCCGTCTCCTCCCTTACCACTTTTATGCTTCTACACCAGAGATCACCATGGGCTCTTGCAATTAAAAAAGCCACTGATAATTTGTGCTAAAGCCAAGGGTTGCCCTGATTAAGAAGCCAAGGGAAAATATCTGACCCATCTGTTCTAAGGCCAAATAATAGGAAAACCAGGAATGAGAGGTCAGATTGAATCAAAAATCACCGCATGCCTGTAAAAGTTGGTCAGTAGCTATTTATGCAACTACTATTCAGCTCACACCGTACCTGGTGTTTTACTTCATCGGCTTCTGGCATTAACTTTAAGCAATGTGTTTACTGGCAAGGCGCACCCAATGACTACACCTCTACGCTGCAGGCGAGCTGTGCTCAGGGGCTGCCCACAAAGCCCCTTCTCCATGGTGGAAGATGGTCATAGAATCATGGAATGGTTTGGGTTGGAAGGGACCTTCAAGACCATCTAGTTCCAACCCCCCTGCCAAGGGCAGGGACACCTTCCACCACACAGGATGCTCAAAGCCTCATCCAACCTGGCCTTGAACACTTCCAGGGATGGGGCAGCCACAGCTTCTCCGGGCAACCTGGTCCAGTGCCTCACCACCAAAATGCTTCCCAGAGGGAAGAATTCCTTCCTTAGATCTAATCTAAATCTCCTCTCTTTCAGTTTAAAGCCATTGCCCCGTGTCCTGTCACTACACGCCCTTGTCAAAAACGGTTCCCATATCAGATCCACATGGGTCACTGGGCAAAGTGGCTACGGACAAGGCAGACATGGAGGAAGGGGATATCAGCTTGTGGAAATCTCCAGCCATGCCCAGGGGTGGTGGCAACCCCTCGGGCTGTGATTTCAAGACCATGCAAGTGGAGTTTCACATGCAGATAAAAATCACGCCGGTCTACCAGACAGCTGGGACGGGAGAGCTTCTGGAAGCCAGGAGGAAACGTGTGCCAAAAAACAGTAACCAAAATAAAACTCTGACTAATCCTTCACCTTTCTGGCCAACCCTGCAAACCCATAACGCTGTCGCAGAACAGAGCCAGTCAATAACGCTCAGAGATCCACTCTTAAATCCATCGTGGGCTGATGTGGATTTTGACAGTCTACTCATTAAGTGGTGTCTCTTTTTACGGCCACACTAAATCTGAGTTCTACATCCTGCGCTGGCCACCGATCACTTTCCAGCTTGATTTAAGACATTGGTTTCAACCCATGAGGTTCTTAATGGCCTAGGAGCTGCCAAGAGAGGAGACAGCTTCCCAAGACGTGCCCAGGATGGCTGTGCTGCACTGAAGCTCTTTGGTTTCAGGTCAGGTCTGTGAGACTGCTTGCTGTATAGGGCCCTGCACCTCGAGACCTTCTTCTCCTCCTCCAGGTCCACTACAGGCAGTATTTATCAGTCTTCTGGGAATGATGCAAGGTATATTTTTTCCTCCTTGCCCAAGAGAGGCACTGGGTAGGGCTGGGCCGTGAAACAGGAGGAAATTGCTGGGGGTGGAGGTGCTGAGTCAGTTGATCTGGTTGGGAAACACAGGCTCTTAATTAGCGTCTCAACAAACACAGAGGAGTGCAGCCCAGAAGTGGAAAACAGCAAGGAGCAACTCATTGTCTAAGAGGCATCCACCAGCCCAGGGTCAGTCCCTTTGCAGACCAGTCAGCACTTGAACTCTCACTCTTGGTTTGTGGCTGAGGACACTCAACATGTTTTGTTTCTGACAGAGCTGAAAGCACTCAGTTCTGTGCAGGTCTAGGCCCCTCAAAATTGTTACTTTGGAGAGGACCTGAATCCTTGGCATTTGCAGAACATCTCGCTGGTGATCCATCACAGCAAGAGAAGCAAGACAAGGCACATCATTGACAGCACTGCTACTGCTGTCTGGCTTGGTCAGCACAGGCTAAGATGAGCAGATATTGAAATGGAGCCTTCAAGCCAAGAACAAGAACTGAGTCCACCAAAACCAGCCTTCAGCCCTAGCTCCAGCACTCCCTTCCTTTGTTGTACCCAGATGGGTGCCAGGCACAGCCCAAAACTAAGATCCTCAAGACTGTCTCAGACACTGCCTTGTTTGAAAAGCGGCTGCATAAAAGCTAGACAGCAGCAAGTGAAGCCAAATATTGTGGCCCATGGATGTGTTTGAACCTCTGACAGCATCGCACTCAGGAAAGCAAAGGTTTGTTGCATGGGTCTGTCCGTTGTGATGAGCTTTCCCATGGTTTCCATAATCTTCCATAGAGGCATCAATTGTCATGCCGGCAGCCAGAGACAACAGAGCCTCAGGGACAGGAAGAACTGGTAAGTTGGCTGGTCTCCCACAGGTGGAAAAGTCCCCAAAAAAAGCCACAACTGGAGAAGGGCAACTTGGCTCATGCGTAGCACTGCAGCTCCAACACAACGCGCTGGGCGTACGTGTTGGTGGAAGTAGGACCAGACTCCACCTCTGAATAAATCTGCTTCTGGGCCTCGAAGACAGCAAGGGCTGCACTCAACAACAGCCATGGCAGAAGGAGGAGAAAGAGGAGCCATAATGGTTAGAAGAGCTGAAGCCACTGTGCCCTGGCAGGATGCAGCCCCTTTGGGCAAAGGTAACAGCAGAAACCCACGTTCAGCTCAACGGTGGCAGCTCGTGACACCTACGGAGTCCTCTATTTCCATGGAAGCTTCACAGGCATGTTAGAGACCTGAGCAGCTTCTGCCAGCACTGCTTGGTGCACGGGAAGAACGGCAGAGGTGCAGCCACCACCGTTGTCCGCGTGGGAGAGGAAAGGGAGATGACAAAGGGAGTCAGGCCGTGGGAAACGGGGAGCTCAGCTGAGCCCTCGGACAAAAGCTGCCGCACCAGTCGGGACAGGGCTGGATGGAGACACCACTGAGGGCTGCAGCGGAAAATAAAGATAGTATGAAACGCTTGGCAAGCAGTCCCTCCTGCCTTGTTATCCTCCTGCCCTCTGGCAACCTGGAGTTCAAAGACCTCTGGAGCCAGCATCTGCATCCAAATCATCCTGTTCCACAGCCACTATGAACTGCCTAATCCTGCAAACCCACGAATACTTCTGGCCTTGAGAACGCTCCACAGCAGAGAGTCCCAGCGCTGGAGCACTGCCCTCACCCATCATCTGAAGCCTCTCCCGACATCCCTGCTCGGGAAGGGATGAGGCACCTACTTCCTGAGCACAGAAGAAGAAAGTGAGGATGAGGAGCTCCACCAGACACCGGGCAGCCTTTATTCCCTGCGGATCCCAGCCAGCAAAGCACCACAGGGCTCAGCACCGCTCTGCTGACTCCGGCGGAGGCTACCCCGGAGCCATTAACATGTCAAGAGGGACAGAGGAAAAGCTTTTCCTTTAATGAATATTTCCTCGGCGAAGCCTGCACCCTCCGTAGGCGAAGCGATAGGCTTAGTCTAAAGATGGATTGCCCTACTTTACCTATTAACCACTTAGACTAATGTAATAAAGGCTCTCTTTATTCAAACAGCCCTAATCCCCAGCCCCACGCAGCTCCGGAGCCTGGAATAAGGAGGGATGCTAAAACGAACTCCGTCAGGCTGGGGAGGCACTGGGGGGTGGTGATGGATTATTTATTTATTTATTTATTTATTTTTTTAAACGCAAACTTCTCCGACGTGAAAACCGGACCCAGAGTGAGATAAATATCCAAAGTGGGGATGACAGGTGGCCACACGGTAATCCAATCCTGAAG